TTATATGCCTAAACGACGTTACGGATGTAGTTATGTTCTCATCAAATGCCTTCATATTAGTGGAGCCCTGGAATTTTATCTCATAAAGCTGAAAACTGAAAATATCATACTCCCTCAATCCACAAATATTCTGAACAAGAAAAGCACTCCTCCAGTATTTGATAATGTAGAAAGCAGAATATGTTGCTATATGTTTCACACATCTGCTTTTCTTAAATCTCTCTCCAGTAACTCTTGACTGGCTTTGATTAAAGCTTACAGCCACTTTTAGTCCACTAGGTTATACATATAAAAAAAATCTGATTTAAACCTATTCATGCACAAGCTCTCAATAATCACTCAAAAATATGTAGTTTTTATATATATTCAAAATGTTATTTAATTATAAAAAATGTAAAAAATTAAGAAATCTCTTTTTAGGATTCAAAGGGGAAATATGTTTTCTTACACACACAGTGCTCAAGATGCAATCTTCTACTCATATTCAACCAGGCCTGATTGCCATAATATATTTTATATTCACACAATATTAATTTCAAGATATTGTTATATTGGTAAGAAAAACATCAAACCATTATTATGTAGAAATATGTTTATTGGCTTTGATGTTGAGACATTAAAAAGGCATTTTATATAACAAATAAATCCATGTACTATGTTCAATATTTCAAATGTCATACTACACTTGAGAGGTGATGAATTTTTTAAAAAAATCAGTGCGTTATATTCTAATTAGAGTTACACATACAATGTATGTTTAAAATAGAATGTTACATACTGTGCAGCAATTAAACTAATTACATATTTAACTGTTTACCATCTTGGCCACTAAATAATTGTAAGGTTGCAAACAAGCAAATGTGCTATCAAACATGCTTTTGTGTGTTGGAGCCCTCTAGATACAGGAAGAGATCTCTATGAAACAAATCAATAGCTAAAGGAGATCATTTTAATTCCTTATAGCAAGAAACAAGATGGCACACAAATTTGTACATAAAATATTCATTAAAATTATTAAAGGAGTGTTATGAAATGTTTAAATTAGAAGAGTGCATATATGTTAGAGTTGTACATTAAAAGTTCAGGTTTAGTTTTGCTAACTAAAACATGAAAATGGCAGTGATATCAAAATTTTACATTTCCCAAATGTTATACATTATCTTTCTGCAAATTTGAGATTGCAAAATGCAGGCCAGAATGGACGAATGTCTCCAAGAAATGTACCCATATTTATTTGATGAAGTAAACAAGGATAATTGGGTTGTAAATTAGTGTTTCTGAGGGATTCTTAAAAAATGGGAATAAAAAATTGAGTAATATCAAGGGATTTAGAAGTGCTAATAATTGACACACAGCTACTAAAATGCAATTAAGCCTGGTAAAAATTGAGTAGTCTAGTTAGAAATTATTTTGAAATAATTAGAAACTTTTTTAAGCAAAAGAAGGAATTAGGTATTATGAGTGACAATTCTAAAAGCAAGAGATCTTGTGCAATGAATTAGGTAAATAAGGTGATCATTCTAAGGCTCTAGTGACCCAAAGAAAAATAAATTTTAGAAAAGGAAGGCTAGCATTACAGTGGCTGTGACATTTACAGTACATCCTTCGTTTGATACCACGACATGATCAGATAACTTCACCAATTAGAATTGCTTTGGTTAGTGTCCAAAATGTACAATTAAAAACTTCTGTTCAGTACAGCATTTATTCTCAGAAGCAAAAACTAAAAAATCCTTTCTTCAGCAACTGAACTTTGAGCCTCATTAAAATATTTCACATTTGAGCTTTAAAGAATAATTTATAATAAAGAAATCACAGTAACTGTTGCATAAACTTCCATTAAATAGGATTAGATTTTAAAACTGATTATCAGTTTATTTATATTTTGTCAATACCTCATGGAAAAAATCTTGGTTTCCTATAACCATATATAGCTCTTAAACTAGTTATAAAGATTTATTTTAAACACGCTATATAAGAACATTCTAAAAGGCCCATTCTGTCATAAGCAATCTGAAAGGTGTACAAACTTCATTATGCTTTCTAAATACAGTTCCAATCAATGAAAACACTTCCTGTCTCTGAAGTCATTTCAATGTATGCTATTCTCTTCTTGCCACGTTGTTCTCTCACCAACTTACCTGCACAACCAGCTACATAGACTGCAACTATTTGTTATCAAAAACTGATAATTTGTTATTCAGAGTCTTGAAACTGGTATTACACTATGATATATTTAGAGTAGAAGTATCATGCACTCAGGTAAAAGTGCTTCCTAGAAAAAGTACAGATCATATTTTTAGTTAAGTCCTTTTAAGGCATGTCTAACATACTGAGCCTATGTCTGCAGAAACGGGCCGGATGAAAGACCGAGATGAAATAGACTGTCTTTCTCCTTGGCTAAGAGTTTTCTTGCGTTCACGAACTAATGCCTTCTGATGTCGCTTCATTCTTTCTAGTTGTTCCTCAGCACTCATCTTGCATCTTTGGTGGTCTCCAGAGTATAAGCGTTCCAAGGCACTCTTTGGTCTCTCCTGTTAAAAGTGACACGGAATACAAAACATATGTTGTAATTAATACTTTATAAGTAGTATACTAAAAAAGTTTACTCTTCCTCTATTTCTCAGTGTAAATGAGCTGATTTTATCCTATTGCTTTTTACACTATTTTGCATATTTTCAACTCTGCAATTTCTACTAAGATAATAAACACACTATATAATTAACTAGGTCCAAGGCCTTCCTTTGTGAATCTGCAGCAACTTCAGTGAGTCGTTCTGACTCTGTCTCTTCTTCCTTGTATTAATCCTATCAAATGGGGTCCGCTCTACGAGGGTTCTCCCTCTAAAGTACTCTGTTCAATGCCATATCCTCTATACACCACATGCTTGCATATCTTCTTTTATAACATCCCACCACTTCTTCTTGGGTCAGCTTCTTTATCTTTTTCCTTCAGTCTTGATCTGCTGGACTCTCTTACTCACAGAACTGTTGTGTCTGTTTACATGACCAAATCATCTGAGCCCGTACTCCCTAATTTTTTCATTTATGGTGTTACTTCTGTCTCTAGGGATGCCCAGTCAGTTTAGCAATGTGACTGGTAAGAGGCCTTAATATGACAGGTGTAAAAAAAATGTTAAGCAGTTTTCCATCTCGTGGGTGCTATCAGAAACCGCTCCTGTTATGCAAAATACATCTGCACTCAGCATATTGTTTACAGAGATCCAGACACCTGTCACCAAAATATTTATTTAAAGTTACCTTGGAGCGATCTCTTTGAAATGTTGCATATGATGAACTGGTGGATGTCTGGTGCAGTCTGGAAGTTGATCCAGATAATCCTTACAAAGAAGCAAAACAATGCTCGAGAGACAGATAGCAGGTGGGTGTTTCAAAAAACCATTTTACATTTTCTATTATATATTTTTGTTACAGTTCGCTTCTCAAAATTTTCAGCCAGGTAGGGCAGTAATGGGATACAGGACTTTCACATCTAGGTCACCAATCAAATTCATTCTGTGGTTCATAGCGACCATAATTCAGTACCATCTGAAGACAGTTTGGAAGCTCATGTAAAATGAGAAGTTTGTAGCCTCAGTCCTGTAACAAGTGTTAATGTAACTAAACTACCAGCAAACCTGACCCAAATGGTACTTACAATCAGAGCAGAGGGTCAAGAACTGAATGGGGATTAAAAACTGAATTGCCCCCACTCTTTCCTCTAAGGTAGTTCTAGGACTGAGGTACACTTTGGAGGTGGCATAGGGAAAATTGTACTAACTCTGCTTATGCTGTATCTGTGATGTCTTCATTCTCTAGGGCTGCCAAACTGGTGGAATAGATTCACTTAAAAAAAACTCTACAATTTAAGCCATTATGAACATAAGAAATATTTTGGGTCAGGCAATAATTTAAGAGCCGTTCTGACAAACTAATTTATCCCGTTATGGTACACTCCCACTTTCTAACAAAAAATGTGAAAATGTTTTGTAGAGGCTGATTATTTCTCTGGCAAAATTAGCTAAACAATGATATCAAGCAATATTTTGATAACTTTAAGATAATGACTCAAACAGCACCCCTAATCTGTAACAAATACACACACACCATACATAATACGTCAACAAAGTATTTTTTTAAAATGGCCTTTTATCAATTCTCTGGCTTACCTCTGGTAGGTAATGTCTGGTATCCACTGTCAGAACCTATGAAACCAAGTGAAGTTTGGCTGAGGTCACCACCTATTGTAGCTAATTCAGGTTCACTCATGTATGAACGAAGTTCTCCCTACATAGAAAAATATTCATTTGATCAAGTGAGACCACAGATCAGACAAATTAAAATAGTTTTCTTAGAGTCTTTGTGTTTCCAGGTTTCCATGTATCTGTCATTCCATAAGCATTCCATAAGCATACTGCTCACCCTATAATCTCCATTCACATATTGCCCCAGTTCTCGATCTCTCTTTCTTTCATCTGACTGACGTTTCAGGCCTCGCACTGATGTGTGCCTGATGACATTGGCTTCCCTTGGAAGAGGTGGAACAGCTGGTGGGTGATCATCAGGATTGTAGACCTGAGGGAGAGGAGGTCTGGGTGGTGCTTCATTTTCCTGGTAAAAGGTAAATAAACTGAGACTCAGCAAATAATATGCTATGAAGTTTAAAACACACTTTTTCCTATATTCTTGGAACTTTAAAAGGTTATTTTAACTACTGAAGAAGGCTGTCTTAATATATAATAAAATGGTGAAGCATGTCCCCTCATCCCACCAACTAATGCATATGATTTTATATGTTATCTACTCAACTTCTTCTTCAAGCACTATCGCTCAGTTCCTTTATAGAGTCATAGAAATACAGGGCTGCAAGGAACCTTAAGAGGTCATCCAGTCCAACACCCTGCAATGAGGCAGGACCAAGTAAACTTAGACTATCCCTTACAGGTGTTTGTCTAGCCCAGTGGTTTTCAAACTTTTTTTCTGAGGACCCAGTTGAAGAAAATTGTTGATGCCTGTGACCCAATGGAGCTGGGGATGAGGAGTTTGGGGTATGGGAGGGGGCTCAGGCCTGAGGTAGAGGGTTGGAGTGCGGGGTTGAGGGCGGTGGGGTGGGGCTGGGAATGAGGGGTTCAGAGTATGGGAGAGGGCTCTGGGCTGGGGTTGGGGTGCGGGAGCGGGTCAGGGCTCTGGGTTGGGGGTGCAGGCTCTGGGCTGGGGCCAGGGATGAAGGTGTTGGGGTGTAGGAAGGGGCTCTGGGTTTGGGGAACAGGGTTGGGGCGCGGGTTTACCTCTGGTGGCTCCTGGTCAGTGGCACAGCCGGGGAGGAGAGGCAGGCTTCCTGCCTGTCCTGGCACCACGGACTGTGCTGCACCCTGGAAGCGTCCAGCAGGTCCAGATCCTAGGTGGAGGCGCACAAGCGGCTTGGCGCGGCTCTCGCCCACAGGCACTGCCCCCCCCCCCAGCTCCCACTGGCCGGTGGAGCCAGTGCTAGGGGTGGGGGCAGCATGAGGAGCCCCATGGCCCTCCTGCCTACGAGCCGGATCTGCTGCTGGCCACTTCTGGGTAGGGACTACTAGTTTTTACTGGCCGGCCGCCAGGGTCCCTGGGTGCTGAGCAAGGCGACCCAGTGCCTCGCATTCCACAACCCAGTACTGGGTTGCGACCCCAACTTTGAAAACCACTGGTCTAGCCTGTTCTTAAAAACCTTCAACTATGGGAATTCCACAACCTCCCTTGACACCGACTTCAGTGCTTAACTATCCTTAGAGTTAGAAAGTTTTTCCTAATATCTAACCTAAATCTCCCTTGCTGTAAATTAAGCACATTACTGCTTGTCCTTCCTTCAGTGGACATGGGGAACAACTGAACACCATTCTCTTTATAACAACCCTTAACATATTTGAAGACTGTTATCAAGTCCCCCCTCAATCTTCTTTTTTCTTAACACTAAAAGGGCCAGTGTTTTTAAACCTTTCCTCATAGGTCAGGTTTCTAAACCTTTTATTATTTTTGTGGCTCTCCTCTGGACTCTCCTCAATTGGTTCGCAACTTGCTTCAATTGTGGTGCCCAGAACACAGTACTTCAGCTGAGGCCTCACCAGGGCCAAGTAGAGTAGGAAAATTACTTCCCCATCTTACATATGATACTCCTGTTAATACACCCCAAAATGATATTAGCCTTTTTTGCAACTGCATCACATTGTTGACTCATATTCAATTTATGATCCATTATAACCCCCGATCCCTTTCAGCAGTATTAGTGCCTAGCCAGTTATCCCCCATTTTGTAATTGAGATTTAATTTTTCTTTCTTAAGTGAAGTATTTTGCACTTGTCTTTACTGAATTTAGATTAGAATGTAGATTTCAGACCAATTCTCCAATTTGTAAAGGTCCTTTTGAATTCTAATCCTGTCCTCCAGAGCACGAGCAACCCCTCCCTGCAGGTTGGTCTCATCTGCAAATTTTATAAGCATACTCTCCACTTCATCATTCAAGTCATTAATGAAAACGTAGAATAATACTGGACCCAGGAATCCAGTGAGGTACATGTCCCACTAGATACATCCCACCAGTTTGACAGTGAACCATTGATAACTACTCTCTTAGTATGGCCTTTCAACCAGTTGTGCATCCACTTTAAAGTAATTTCATGTACACCACATTTCCCTAGTTTGCTTATGAGAATGTCAGCCGGGACAGTATAAAAGCCTTACTAAAATCTAGATATATTACATCTATAGCTTCCCGCAATCCACTAGGCCAGTAACCCTGTCAAAGGAGGAAATTAGGTTGCTTTAGGATGATTTATTCTTGACAAATCCATGTTGGCTATTATTTATAACCCAATTATCTTCTGGGTGCTTACAAATTGATTGTTTAATAATTTGTTCTAGTATCTTGCCGGATATCCAAGTTAGGCTGACTGGTCCTCTTTGATCCCCTTTTTAAAAATAGATATTATGTTAGCCCTTCCCCAGTCCTCTGGGACCTCACCTTTCCTCCATGAGTTCTCAAAATAATTCCTAATGGTTCCGAGATTGCTTCAGCTCATTACTTAAGTGCCCTAGTGTGAATTTCATCAGATCCTGCTAACTTGAAGACATCGAACTCCGCACATCTCGGAAATTCCTCTATTTTGTGCAATATTTGCTGGTGAATGCCTTCTATTTTCACAATTAGAACTACACGTGAACCTTGTTTAATGAAAACACAAAGCCAGGTGCAATATGCTCAGTGTCAAACCCTAAACTGTGAACAAATTCAGGACAATTTTAGAACCCGAGCCAAAGTTTCTCCTTACCAGGCTAAATTCTGTAATGTGGCCTGGGCTTCACATTGGTGAGGAAGGGATTATTTATAAAATGTTTTCACATATAGCATTAGCTCCTCAGATACAATGGTGGTGAGAGCAGTAGATAGATTTACACTCAATTCATGGTAGCAATACTTACAATTTTTGACTTTAGCTTCACTGGTGACTGAAGAGGATGCTCAACTTTTTTCAGCTGTTGTGATTGAGACTGTGTTCTAGGCTGAGTATAAGGCTGTGGAAACAGCCTAACCTCCAAAGAGGACTTAACAGGACTGGATGGAGGAGTTCGCTGAGTAGAAAGTTTGCTCTCCATAGTTGTGAGAGAAGTTGATAATGAAGGCACTATAGGCTGAGAAAATGAAGGCACTGTTTTTCTTTCTATGGCAGAAACAGGTAAATAAGTTAAAAGTTGTATGGATGTTATATCTACATCATGAGCACACACTTTTCCCACAAGAACATCACACAAAATAATAAGCAGTATGTATCTATGCGCTGGCTTTTGAAAAACCTTCAACTTCCCTCATTATTCTGACTATAGACTATATTTTTAAGATGTAAAATCCTATGATGTTATGGCTATGCCATAAAACTTCCAGACACCTGGACATAGATAGGTGTCTATAGTTGTATTTTAAAAATAAATTAAATACACAGCTCTATGATCTCAAAACAAATTAACATTCTGTTTATAGGTAAATGGTAAATAAAGTTAATAAATATACTCTTATGCATATGCTACAAACTGAATCTACATAAGGCATCCAACTGATTTTCATTTCCCCAACCTACTGGCTCTTTTCTGTGAAGTCCAACAAAGCGGACTAGCATGCAGCCCATATACACCTTCTCACTTCACCTTTTCCTACAACAGAAGGCTGTTTGTTCTGTCCGCCAACCATTCCCCACAATGGAAAACAGTGTGAAGTGCAGGTAGGGGAGGGGGCAGGACCAAGTGGAAAAGGCAGACAGACTGCAGGTGGGAGGAGCTGTCAGGTGGTGGGCAGGATAGCAACTGTGAGAGTGAGAGTTATGAGGATTAAAACAAATTTTTCAGGTTTGGCTAATTTATCCCCTTGTTTGTTTTCTTATGCCTTGGCATTTCTTGGTTCCATCAGTAAGTACAAAAATATCTGTGAGAAAGGACGATCTTACTGGGATAAGGGGACTCCCAACACAACCAGCAGCAGCAAGTACTGGAAATTCTATAATAAATGATGACCTCAAGACTTCTAGCCCAATTCCACAGACCCAAGAGATTCAGATGAATTTAGATACAGTTTAACATCTTTACTCGGTTTCTCTTACCTGGATTTTTTATAGAATCTACTATGACTTTGTAGTTTGCTTTATTTGCACTTAGGCCAGCTGTGACATCTTCAATTCTCCATAAATCTTTTTGCATTTGTGTTTTCTCCTAATGTTTAGTAAGAGGAAAGATTTTAAAAATCAGTTCAATCCCAAGATTTTGTCAGTTTCATTTATTATAGCTAGTTTGAACCAAACATTTTAGTGACACTTGAACACAGGCTACATGGCTTGGAAAGATTATAGGAAAAAACTGGGCATAACACAAATGTTAGCATCTTAATTCAGCCAGTTCAGAATTACAAGAGTCTTTTGCATGACTATGCTGGTGGGAACAGAGTACTATCCAGACAAGAGATCAATTAAGTAGTTTTACATATACGTTCAAACAGAGATTGGATTCCTTATGATCGTGGTGCCTATCCCTGACTAGGACATCAAAATATATCCAGTTTTCTAAAGTTTGCATGCATGCCTAGGAGTCTGGAAGTAGGTTAAATAATTCTCTGAAGTAAGAGCAAAGATTAAGACCTCTTGCTGCTGTTGCCCTACCTATAGGTGGAGCCATAAGTAATGCAATGTGTTTCCCAAAGTTTGGGGAGGTGTTGGGGAGGCGAGAGGAGCACAGACATACCTCTGAATTGTTCTCTAGAGTCCCAGCTTTAATTTAAAATAAAAAAACAGCCTCTAGCTTCAGCATGTAAAACAAGTAAAAACCAAACCATGTAAATGGGCCTGGGTTTACAGAGAATCTGAAACAGCTCTGAGGTATGAATTGCCCCATTCATTTGAATGGGTACTATTTATAATACTTTAAATGCCACCACTGTTGAATATTTCACTTGTATTATGAAGTTTTATTCAATCTGCTCTGAGTGACCACTGATTTTGTCACAACTGACAGCTGGGATGAGGGGAGTTGGAAGCAGTCACTCACACCTTCCTTTACATGTGTGGCTTGAAGCTTCACAGCAGGACAGTTGTTACAGTCATCCGCTTCCTGTCTCTCCCCGACAGACAAGCCTTCCAGACCCCAGAAGAGAAGGATGGCCAATACCACCCACAGCAGCACATCTCCCAGCCCCTGCACTGTGTAGGTCATGCTGGTTTGTTATCCATTGTTTGTAAAAGCGTAGGGGAAGGACATGCAAATTAACAACACATGGCACCATTAAAAGGGAGTGTGGTTGGTTCCATCTTCCTGAAGACAGGCTCAGCTTTCTAGAGTTAGGGAAACACTACTATAATGTATTATAGCCTATGGGGAAAGGCCTGAAACTCATTTAACCAAAGCCACACTAGTATGGCCTGTTGCATGCTGAAACTGGCTGAACTTCTGAACTTAACTTTTGTAGACAGCAACCACCACTAACCTACCACTAGACCATAATAGGACCATCTGTTTTCCTCCCATTTCCTATCTCCTCTTCTGTCTGTTTTTGGTTGGGGAAACTGACCTGACAATTCACAGCTTTGTAAGAGAGCTGGCAATGCCCTGGATGTAGTATCTTTAACATCTCCATCACTGAACAAAAAAGTTAAGAAGTGGAACTAAATTTGCAATTTTTCCTGTACACTTAGTGAACCAGAAGGGAGATAAATTGCTTCACCTTTGCTTTCTTGGACCTGGAAAGTATATTCAGTCAGGCTATGTATCAGAAAATAAAATGCCAAGGAGCCAGACGTTTAAACAATGGAGAATGTTATTTGCTAGTAGTAGACTCACAGGACAGATGGAACATTTATTGAAAGATTATCAAGATACAAACTAGACAATCATACTTGTTCCACTTCAGCTTCCTGAGAAGAATCACACTGCAGGATATTGAATGATGGATTTACAGTGAACACGTAAAAAGGTAACCAGTCAGAAAAACTTTGAACCAACTCAAAAAATGCACCTTCCATAAGTGCTGAAGTAGTATACAGAATAAGGAAGAATTTTCAATATTATTTCTAGATAATAGTTCTGCCTTGAGTGCAGGGGACTGGACTAGATGACCTCTCAAGGTCCCTTCCAGTCCTACGATTCTATGATTTTTTCCCATTACTTAAATCTTGACGCAAACAGAGTAGATCTAGAAAGTTAAACAGTTTAATATATTTTAAAGTATGAGCAGTCACAGATTAATGTTTACAAAGATGATGTACTTTATGTGCAAGGCAAGAAAAGTTGGCTGGAAGAAATAAATCATTTCCTTAAATTTTCCAGCACAGAAGCATAATTTTGAGTGATAAAACTACAGGATAAACACTGAAGTGAAAAGCTAAAACTCACAAAAAAACCCCACATCTGAGTTCATTCCAGCTTGCCCAGGTCCCTCCCCTCAGGCAAAATGTCATCAATCACCGCTCTAAAATAAAGATTTTGCTTGAACAGGCTGCCTGAAGCCTTGAGTTCTTAACCTTTTGATGAATGAACATTTTACGCTAGTGTTCAGTATCGACTGTTGCCTCTAGCACCTTGAAATCTATGCCTTTATTAACATTTGATAATGTTCCATAAGGACCACTTTTTAAAAATAAAATAAAAGTATGCAAGATGGTAGATGAACTGCTCTGGAGCCTAAATTCCTCCATACAGAGAGAAGATGATTTTCAGAATCACTTTTGATTTTGGGTTCTTCAATTTGAAACAACATAAAGGCCCGTGATTTGGACATCAGCACTTTCTGAAAGTCAGGCCCCTAGGCACCCACTCACCCACCTCCACACACGCAGCGCGAGTGCACAGGTGGTAACAACGTAAGCTAAGCTTTCCGACACTGCCCTGCCAATATGACAAAAACCAGAATCGGATAGACTATCAACTTAAAGTCTATTCCCATCCAATCCTTGGAAAAGGCTTGTAACCAAAAGTGCCTGAGGAACAGAGCTAGCAGTTTTACTATGGAGGCAGTTTCTTCCTTTGATGAATACTCCAGTGGTTGCCAGAGGTTACCAGTCTTCTCAGAATGGGACTTAAGCTGCAGAGGCTAAGATGTCCCAAGTTGGAGATGCCGATGTTTGCAGGTAAGCTCCCTGCTAATTCCCTGGCCTCCAAAACACACCTAGGAACATAGGACTGGATGGAATCCCTTGGGTCACAGAGTCCAGTCCCTTGCTATCACAGGCAATCCCATCATATAATTATCAAATTCCATCTTAAACTCATTAGGTTGTTTGCCCCCACTACTCCTATCGGAAATATGTTCCAGAAACTCACTCCTCTGATGGGTAGAATCCTTCTAATTTCCAGTCTAAATTTATTCCTGCCCAATTTATACCCATGTGTTCTTGTCTCAACATTGTCCATTAGTTGAAATAGCTCTTGTTTACCCTCCCCCCAGAAGTATTTCTAGAGAGCAATCACATCCCCTCTCAGCCTTCATTTTGCTAGGCTAAACAAGCCAAGCTTTTTTAGTCTCCATAGGCTCTCCATTGTCCTGATCATCCTAGTAGCCCTTCTCTGCGCCTGTTTCAGTTTGAGTCCATCTTTCTTCAACATGGGTGTCCAGAATCGTACATAGAATTCCAGATGAGGTCTTACCACTGCTTTGTACAGTGGCATTAATACTTCCCTATCTCCATTGGAAATCTCTCGCCTGACACACCTTGGGATCATTTTTGCCTTTTGCACAGCCACATTACATTAGTTTCCCGTAGTTGTACTGCAATCGACTAAGGCTATGTCTACACTGGCACTTTCGTCGTTAAAACTTTTGTCACTCAGGGGTGTGAAAAAACACACCCCACCTCTGAATAACAAAAGTTTTAATGACGAAAAGCACTTGTGTGGACAACGCTTTGTCGTCAGGAGCTGTGCTTTGGGCACGAAGCTACCGCCCCTTGTTGGAGATGGTTTTATTTTGTTGCTGGGAGAGCGCTCTCCCAGCGATAAAAAGCAGCTACACAGAGCACCTTACAATGGTGCGGCTGCAGTAGCACAGTGTAGACATAGCCTTATACACCGAGGTCTTTCTTATCTTCTGTCATTTCCAACTAAGGAGCTCTCAGCTTATAGGAGAAATTCTTGTTGTTAATCCCTAAGTGCATGACCTTGCATTTTGAAGTATTAAATTTCATCCCATTTCTATTACTACGGTCCTCAATCTAATTCTTCCTGTATAATATTCCAATTTTCCTCTGTTCTGACAATGCCCCCCAATTTTGTGTCATCAGCAAATTTCATTAGCACATTTGTACTTTATGTGCCAAGGTAATTAATGAAAATATTAAATAAGATTGGTCCCAAGACCAATCCGTGAGGAACTCCACTAGTAACCTTCCTCCAGCCCAATAGTTCTTCTTTCAGTACAACTCACTGTCTCCTCTGTAGCCAGTTCCTTACACACCTTACAATTATTGTACTAATCCTCATCTTCTCCATCTTAAATACTAATTTTCCATGGGGGACCATATCAAATGCTTTACTAAAATCCAGATATATTATATCTACCACTCTTCCCTTGCCTACAAAATTCAGTTATCTTGTCCAAGAAAGATAGACCAGACAGATTAGTCTGGCCTGGTCTACTTTGATGAACATCAGATATTGACATCGGGAAGAGAAGATGATGGACACTAGGACAGAGCTGTGTTGATGCTAAAACTAAAGGCAAGCCAGGCTCTGATTTCATTTAACTCAATATCTTCTTGTATTCTGAAGGTGAAATACATAATCAAATCTGTTGCAGTTATGATAGTACAAGTATATGAAGCAACCTTAGCAGCACCCAAGGAAGAAATTGACACATTTTATAACAATCTACAGGAAACTATATAAAAAGTTTCAGGACAAGACTTGTTATTGGTGATGGGAGATTTTAATGTGAAAACAGGATTGGATTGGAATATCATACAAGAAGATCTGGAGGACCTTGAAAACTGAAGTAAAAGAAATAGTAGTAAAAGAAATATAATAGTGCAAGGTCATGCACTTAGGGACTATCAACAAGAATTTTTGCTATAAACTGGTGATGTATCAATTGGAAGTGAGAGGAAAAGGAAGACCTGGGTGTACTGGTTGATCACAGGATAACTACAAGCTGCCAATGTGATGAGGCTGTGGAAAAGGCTAATGCAATCCTAGGATGCATCAGGTGAGGTATTTCCAGTAGACATAGGGAA